TCATCTTTCTTGAACTGGGGAGCCCAGAACTGGACACAGTACTCCAGATGAGGCCTCACTAGGGCAGTGTAGAGGGGAAGGAGAACCTCCCTCGTCCTGGTGGCCACACTCTTCTTGATGCACCCCAGGATCCCATTGGCTTTCTTGGCAGCCAGGGCACACTGCTGGCTCATGGTTAACCGCCCTGGTCTGTTCAGAGCTCACAACAAGCGGAGAGTGAGCGGTCCCTCCCTGTGCGAGAGGAGCTGCCTTGCCTTGGGACGTGGCTCAGGCGACGCGGCGCTTGGCTGCCCGCTCCGAGATTCAGGCAGTCACGGAAAAAGCAGCCAGACTCAAGCAGAAGGTCCAATTTGGCTTTCCTGGAAGGGTTTATTTAAAAAACAACTATTATTAAAAGAAGCCTGCTCGGGCACAAATGACAAGGCAACGAAGCCATTTGGCTTGAGGCTTAAAGGGGAGGCAGCAAGACACCAGCAAGTTTCTCTGTGCCACTTGCCATGGGGACAGTGCCCGGCCAGGACTCCTGCCAGGTGAGCATCTCCCCTCGCCGGCGCCTGCCAGCGTGTTACTGCTCGAAGGACATGAGGGACAGGAATCGAACTTACTTTTTAGAGTTGGTCACTCTTTTAAGCCTGCACTTTTTCCCCCCCAAGGTCTGCAAGTAGCACTTCCACCCAGAGTTCACAGAATCACAGAATGTTCGGGGTTGGCAGTGACCTCTGTGGGTCCCCCAGCCCAACCCCCTGCCCAAGCAGGGTCACCCAGAGCAGGCTGCACAGCACCGCGTCCAGGCGGGGCTGGAATATCTCCAGAAGTTCATCGTTACTAGAGGGGCTCAAGTGTCACACGCTCTTCAGAGCAGCCACCAGCCCCAGGCACAAGCCCTGTGCCCCCGGGCCCTGCCCGTAACCCGCTGGCGTTGCCCCAGTACAGTACCACGTGGACCAGAGCCACGTTCCCATCGCTGCTGCTTCAGTGACCGATCAGCCGCAGCATCTCCTGAGGATCCACTATCTTCTCTCGGGGTTTGCCGGCAGCTTTGCCTCTCGCCACCTCAGCGGCATCTATCTTCTCCCAGTCCGAGAAGGAAACGGGACGGACCCCTGGGGTGAGGGCGAGAGACGGGAGGGAGAAGTTAACCAAGGAAAAACGAGTTCAGTCCCACCTCCCTGCTAGCAGGGACCTGATGTGCGAGCAAACCCTGCCCTTTCCCAACACCTCAGACTTCAGCCTCACAAAGGAATAATAATTTCTAACACCACGAGGAGAGGGAGGGCAGCTCCACTCAGCTCGGATCAGCCAGACCTTCGCGAGCCGTGAACGGCGAGCACGGCACCACCGCGGGGGACAAAACCCTTCCAGTTCACTGTGAAACCTCAGCCAGTTTGGAGGCAAACACACACACTTTAATTGAATGCCTTTAAATACAGCAACAGCAGATGATTCTTTTGGGCATTTTCATCTCTCCCCCAACTTGCCTGGACGGATTGCTAGGAAAACCACTCCAGAGCAACAGCAACGTCGCACCCAAGGGCTGTGCTGCTTTTAACGGCCATTCCCAGAAAGTGGTCATTAACCTTAGCAACGACACCAAGTTTGAGGAAATTCAAGCCCTGCTCTCCCTGTGCTTTGGAGCAACAAACTGGCAGCACAACACATTTCCTTGGTTCAGCCTCCGCTCCCAAGAGTGGCTCCCGGGACTCGCTGCCCCGGGATACCCCGCTCCAGGAGTTGTTTGGCTGCACCATACCTTCACGCTGGCTGCTACAGCGGCTCCCGCGCTCCCCTCCTGACCCCCGGTTGGGCGGGGCCCCAAAGCCTTCTCTGGAGGCGGACAGGTCCAGCACGCCCGCCTGGAGATCCTCCAGCACAGACTGGGCAGTGTCAAAGCTGTCGTTCATGGTGGTGATGATCACGCCCGTGGGTCCTCTCTTCACCCACCCGCTGCAGTACAGACCTGCATGGGCACAGGGAACAGCCAGGCTGGGTCCAGCACGTGGCCATGGACCCTGCTGAATGCAAGTCCTTGCCCCATCCCTGGGTGTCACATCAAGCTGCAGGCAGTGGAAGACTCCACCCCTGTCGTGGGTCCTTCAGCGGTGCTGTGACAGGAATTTTGTACCTCCAGACCAGCACTGTGGGCTGTACCACTTTAGTAACAGACTCCAAGACCCCACAAAACCACCCTGTGCAAAAGCAGACCCCCCCCCAACGCAAGCTGGGGACGGGCCAGATCTTAACGCCCAACAACAGCAGCTCGTGTCCCCAGTTTCCACTCCAACTGAGGCGCGTGACCGCCTTGTACCCGCGCCCTTGGAGAACGGAGCTTCCCACCCCAAAGCCCCCAACCCACCCCCCGCGAAACGCCCGCCGCCGCGCAGCCCGCCCCGGCCCCCCCGCCACTCTGCCCGAGCTGTTGGGGACCACGCCGCGCTGGGTGTCGAAGGGCACTGCCGGGTCCAAGGGCAGGCTCCGGTAGCCAATGCTGCTGAGCACCAGCCCGCACTCCAGCTCCTCCACGTCTCCGGTGGGGATGGCTTTGGCAGAGTCACCTGAGCCCTGAGAGAGGGAGGAAGAGGCTGCTGACCACCAGACAGTCACCAGGGGCAGAGCAGCAGCCTCCTCTGGTCCCTTTTGGCATCCTTGATCCCCGGGTATCTGCTGAAGGCCTTTCTGCAGCAGCAGCAGCGCGGAAGGAGCTCCCTTTAGAAGGGGAAAGGCTCTTGTTGGTGGTACCAGCTTCCCCGAGAGCCCACCGGCCGCCACCCCAGCCAGGGAACACAAAACCG